TTTATTTAACTTTGCTTTCATATATATATTGTGTATATACTGGACAAATGAGTCTTAATTTTATAATATATAGCCTCTAGATATTAAAGAGGTTGCCAATGTATAACAAAAGTATAGTAAACTAACACACTTTGTACAAAAAAAAAAAAGGAATGAAGTACTGATACGTACTACAACACGGATAAGCCTTGAAAATATTACATTGAGTGAAAGAAGCCAGACACAAAGGCCACATACTGTACGATTCATTGTATTTATATGAAACATCCGGAGTCAGCAAATCCATAGAGACGAAAGGCAGACTAGTGATTGACAGAGACTGGCAAAGAGGGAGGAAATAAAAGTGTACAGATTAGAAGGGAGAAATCAAATTGTCTTTGTTTACAGTTAACATGTTCATCTAAATAGAAAATCTGAAAGAAGTGACAAAAGTCTTCTGGAATTAATAAGTGATTATAGTAAGTATTATGGTTCGGCAGAAATGTTCAGAGGCAAAATGATTAGATCATGAGAGATGTAACCTAATCAGTGGATTAATCCATTTGATTAATAATTTGAAAAGGCTACTGTACTGGGTGGTAACTATAGCTGGTAAGGTGTGGCTGGAGGAAGTAGGTTACTAGGGGCAAGGCTTCTGGGATTATATTTTGACCCTTGATCCTTGCTCCCTCTTTCTGCTTTCTGGCGGTTGCAAGCTGAGCAGCTTTCATTTGCCATGCCCTTCTGCCTCACCTTCCACCCAGAGCAATACAGTCAGCCAACCAAACCTCTGAAACTGGGAGCCAAAATAAACTTTTCCTCTTCTAAATTGTTCTTGTCAAGTACTTTTAAAAAAAATTATTTCAAGTTTCAAAGTTTGTTTGTTTGTTTAGTTGTAGATGGATACAATATCTTTAAAGCCAACACAGTAAGGCTATAGGATACAAGGTTAACACACACACTTAATTTGCTTTCCTATATATCAGTGATGAACAAGTAGAGTTTGAAATTAAAGCATTGAATTGACTTTCGCACTCCCGAAATAAAATATTTAGGTATGAATCTAACAAAACATGTAAAAAAACTATATGAGGAAAACCACAAAACTCTAATCAAAGATATCAAAGAACAAATACAATGAGAGATATTTCATGTTCCTGGATAGAAAAACTCAATATTGTCAAAATGTCAGATCTTCCTAATCTGATCTATAGATTCAATGTCAATTCCAATCAAAACCCCAGCACATTATTTTGTGGGTATTGACAAACTGATTCTAAAATATATATGGAGAGACCGAAGACCCAGAAGAGCCAACTTAATGTTGAAGGATAAAATCAAAATTAGAGAACTGACACTACTTGACTTCAAGAGTTACACATATAGTAATTAAAACAGTGTGGTATTAGTGAAAGAATAAATAGATCAATTGAACAGAATAGACAGCACATAAATAATTAACTGATTTTTTAAAAAGAGCAAGGCAATACAATGGAGCAAACATCTTTTTTTTTCAAGAAACATTGCCAAAACAAATGGACCTACACATGCAAAAAAAAAAAAATCATCTGGATAATTACCTTTCAAAAAAATTAACTCGGGCTGGAGATGTGGCTCAAGTAGCCCGCTCGCCTGGCATGCGTGTGGCCTGGGTTTGATCCTCGGCACCACATACAAATAAAGATGTTATGTCTGCCGAAAACAAACAAACAAACAAAAATATATATTAAAAAATTCTCTCTCTCTCTCTTTAAAAAAAAAAAATAACTCAAAATGGGGCTGTGGGTGTGGCTCAGTGGTAGAGCGCTTGCCTAGAACATGTGAGGCAATGGGTTCAAACCTCAGCACCACATAAAAGTAAATAAATAAAATAAAGGTTGAAAAAAGGAAATAATGTAATGTAAAGAAATATTAACTCAAAATGGATTAACCAAGAGCTGGGACTGTAGCTCAGTGGTAGAGCACTTGCCTAGCATGTGTGATTCACTGGGTTTGATCCTCAGCACCACATAAAAATAAATAAAATAAAGGTATTTAAAAGAATGGATTAACTAAATGTAAAATACAAGACTGCAAAATTCTTAGAGGATAGCATAGGAAAAAACCTAATTGACCATGGGGTAATAATGACTTTTTATGTACAACACACAGTATGATCTGTGAAATAAATAATTGATAGGCTGACTTCAGTAAAATAAAAAACATCCTTCTTTGAAAGACAATGTCAGGAGAATAAGACAAGCCATAGACTGAGAGAAAATATTTGCAAAAGACACACCTAATAAAGGCCTAGTCTTCAAAATAACACAAGAAATCTTAAAACTCAACAATAAGAAAATAATCCAATTTTAATTGGGCATTTTTAAATGGGCAAAAGACCTGATCAGACTTTACCAAAAAAGATACACATGGCATACAAGTATGTGAAAAGATGTTTAGAAACGTGTAATTAGGAAATTGCAAATTTATCTATTATAATGGCCAAAACCCAAAACACTGATACTACCAAATGCTGTTAAGGATTTGAATCAAGAGAAACCTTTCTTCACAGCTAGTGGGACTGCCAAATGGTGTATTCACTTTGAAAGAGTTTGACAGCATATGAACTAGCAGTCACACTCCTTGGTAGTCACACAAAGGAAATGAAAACTATGTCCACCCCAAATCCTGACATGGATGTTTACAGCAGTTTTATCCATAATTGCCAAAACTTAGAAACAACCAAAATGTCCTGTTGTAGGCGAGTGGATAAATTGTTGTGCACCCAGATAACAGAATATTAATTCAGTACTAAAAATAAACTATCAAGACGTGAAAAGACACAGAGGAATACTAAATACATATTACTAAATGAAAAAGGCCAATTCCAACTAAATGATATTCTGGAAAAGGCAAAACTATGGAGACAGTAAAAGGATCAGTGGTTATTAGAGGTTGAGGAGCGAGGGGTGACTAGATAGAGCCCAGAGACTTTTTTTTTTTTAGTTGTAGTTGGACACAGTACCTTTATTTAATTTATTTTTATGTGACGCTGAAGATTGAACCCAGTGCCTCGCATGTGCTAGGAAAGCGTTCTACCACTGAGCTATAACCCAGCCCAAGCCCGGAGGATTTTTAAGGCAGAGAAAATATTCTGTATGACACTACAATGGTGGATAAACGTCACTGTAGATTTGTCAAAATCCATAGAATGTACAATATCAATTATGAACCTTAATGTAAACTATGGACTCTGGGTGACAATTATCTATCAATGTAGGTTCATCAATTGTTAACAAATATACTACCTGTGGCACAGGATGTCCATGGGGAATTGTTTTTGTGTAAGGAAGATACGTAGGAATTCTTTGTACTTTCTGCTCAATTTTGCCCTGAAACTAAAAATGCTCTAAAATTAAAGTTTGGAAGGAGGAAAACCAAACCAAACCAAACCAAACCAAAACAAAGCCAGCCAGCCAGCCACGGCCTTTCCAGACTTAGGGAATTTCTAGTAATAGTGAAAGACCCGCCGATTCCCTGTCCAAGAAAGACGCAGGAGGCACTGGCTGCAAAAGCAAGAGGTGATTTATTGATACACAGGCGCCTGCGGGTGCTCAGCGAAACCTCAGCCGGAGCTTCGGTGAACTGGCACACCGGGCTTTGGGGTACAGATCTTTTATAGGGTACAGTGGTCAGTTTTCCTCCTAGCACAGTAACAGGTATCTCATTGGCTCTTTTGAATCCAGCATATAGGTCACTTAAAGGGTAAACTTGTTTTTCACTATAGGTTCCTGGAAAAACCACATAAAAACCATTTGTTATTCATTGTATGGTTTTTTCATTGTATGATCCCGTTTGCCCAACCGTGCCGGCTCCTTTCCCAACCATCCTGTCCTTTCTTAATCGTTTACACTTAACTGATTTTCTGAAAAATACATCTGACGTCTGTGCAGGTGCGGAAGCAAGCCCTGGTGATTTATTACTGGGCCTAAAGTTATTGGGCTGGGGTCTTTCAATAGTAAGGTGATTGTTATGTGTTTGGGACAAGGGATGGGGAGGGTGGTGAAGCAGTTCCTCAGGATATTTTTGGTACCAGGGATTGAACGCAGGTACATTCAACCACTGTGCATGTCACATCCCCAGCCCATTTTTTTTTTATTTTGAGACAGGGTCTTACTAAGTTGCTAAGGGCCTCTAAGTTGCTGAGGCAGGCTTTTAACTTGCAATCCTCCTGCCTTAGCCTCCTGAACCCTAGAGAATTTTAAAAGTTCCTGATTTTGTAGCAGAGCCTTGTCTGGAACTACAGTACTACCCTATTCTAAGATGCCTGCCCACGTGAAACACTTCAAGTATGGTCTCTGCCCAACGGGTAAACTTTTTTTCAAAATCAAGGTTACCTACACCCTACAATTCCAAGGGGCGGAGAAACGCATCAGCCCGTGTACAGAACGCTGGGGGGCGGGGGGGAGTTAGGCACCGACTAACTTATTATAAGCTTTAAATGGGCTGAAGCTAATAAACTTTGAAGATCAACTCTGGGTCGACATTTATTTCCTTTAATCCGTTCGGGCGAGAGGTGGTCTATTCATTGCAAACCATAGCTGCAATTTAGCAAGGAGAGGGTCCCACGTGAACGCGGCAATCTAAAAGTACTCCACTTTATCTGCGCGATTGGCGCTGGCGGAGGACAGACAGGACGCCAAGCAGGAGCTTGTGGTGGAGATTTGCAAGGTGGCTGGTCCCCCGAAACCTGCACCAAGGAGTGAGGGTGCCGAACCCCGATTCCAGGCCAGATCCCATGGAATATAAGCAGGTGGGGCGTGTAGAACGGGAAGTTTTGCACATTTCTGGGGGGGGGTCGCAAGGCCTGCCCTCACCGCGTAGTCCCAACCTTTCAAATTTCCCAGGCGCCCCGCGCCTCAATTGCCGGCCCTTCAGTTTTCCAGGGAGTCGCGCCGGAAGTGACCTCATGACGGCGGCGTGAAGACGCGGGGTCGCTTCCGGTACGGCAATCGTGGTTGTGGGGGTGGGTGGAGAAGCCCCCTCTGTGGGTCTTTTCGCGGTGCGGGGTCGGCTTGGTGTGGTGTGTGGAGGAGGCCCAGACCAGACGGCGCGGAGCTGGGAGCGAGAGTAGGCGGTCGGTTTGTGGGTGCTCGTGGGAGGGGGCTTCCGGTGTTGCCAGCGGGGTTTGCTTTTAGACTGTAGGGTTTCCGGTCTTGTAAACCTTAATAGAGACTGGCGCGAGGTAGGGGGGAGGGGGTCCCTTCGAGTTCGCAGCGGTCCACATTACTAGGGGTGGCCCCAGAATTTTGGTTAGAAGTGGCAGGCCGAGAACAGAGAGATTCCGAATAGTGTGGGGATTGTGTGAGGTACTAGAGGCCTGGGCTCTGGGTTCTCCTTGTTCGTGGCTGTCGCCGCTCACTGCTTCGTGCCTCCGTTTCTGTCTGGACAGTGAGACAAGTGGCAGGCACGAGCGTGAGCACCACATCCATGACTGATAGCTTGAGGACAGAGGTGAACGGGATGTGGGAGGAGAGGGTGACTGAGAAATTGATACCTGACAGGGCACCCCACTGACTTTCCCTTGATTCATTCTTGACCTTTGTAAGTCTGCCGTTCTTATTATCAGTACTCTTTGTGTGACGTCGATTCTATTTATCAATAATTGACTTGTTGGGTGGTTCAGGTGTTTTGGTGTGTGGAAGGAATGGCCCTTGTTGGCTTGACCAGTTGATATTCAGTCTCCCACTTGGCGGAGCTTGGAGTCGTCTTAATCCCCTTCTGTGGGTACAGGGGAGGAACTAGGAACTCAAGAATGTTTCTTCTTCCTAGCCACAGACTAAACTATTTAATTCTGCCATCTGTCACATATGGGTCTTAATTCCGACAATATAAATGTTTCTGAGCAGTTTTGTATTTCAACTGGAAACCTCAGATGAATGTCATCTTTTTTTTTTCTTATGAGAAAAGAAGTTTACTTTGGTCCTTCTTTTCAAGTGAATGAATGGTATGTTAGTTGTACTTGGTACAAAATTCTTGTCAGTTTCTAGGGCTTTTGTTTTACTTTATTTTGAGAGAGGGTCTTGCTATTGCCAAGCTGCCCTGAAACTTGTAATCCTTCTTCCTTGGCCTCCCAGTTAGCCAGGATGACAGGTGTGGGCTACTTTGAGGGGCTTGTTATCTCTGTGTGATGTGAAGATTTGCAAAGAGCATGAGTTATTAATTGCCAAAATTTTTTTTGGTGGAACTTCCTTGTGGGGTTAGGGCTGTAGACTAGAAAAGTCTCTCAAACTTTTTGGCCTATGTTTCATGTATTTTACCTTGTCACTCCCTGCTGGTGTGCACACACAACAATAGAAAGTTTATCTGTCCTTTCTACAAATGATGCCCTCTGACATCCTCTATTTCATTAAAAAAAAAAAATAAATAAAACCAGCAATTTCTAGTAAAGCCAAATACTGTGTCTATTCTGATTTCCTGTGTAATATGCACAGCAGAAATGAGTACATTTTACATCATGTATAACCAGAGAAATGAAAAGTTGTGCTTCATTTGTGTGAAAAAATAAATTTTAAAAAAAGGAAAAGAAATGAGTACATTTGCCAACCATGAAAACATATATCTGAATATGAATTATTTATACTAACTTGGAACTGGAAATAACCCTACTGTATCAACACTAGAGTGGATTATTTGCTTATTTACAGTATATGGCACAGGCAAAAAAAAAAAATTAACTTTTGGTATGTGCAAAGGAAGCCAAATACTTTAAAGAGAGTCTTTATGCTTCCATTTATATGGAATTCAAAAATAGGCCAAACTGGGTTTTCATTATGTCAGAATAATGGCTACCTTTAGTGGGGTACAATAGAGCCTTCAGGGGTATTTGGATGGTGGTTACATGGGTGAATTAATGTGTAAGAATTCATGGAGCTGTTCACTTAAAACATGTAAACATGCTATATATATCATAACTTGACAGAAACATAGAAAACAAAAAGCATCAAAGATAGTTCCTTTGTAGCTCCTATGTTTCCGGTTTCAGCTATGGACTCTTTTGACATAGAATTATTCATCCCTTAATGGATGAAGCGCTCTTCCTTAGTGTCTTAATCTGTTGAACCCAGTTGGTGGCACTCTTATTTAATTTAGGTTTAGAGTTTTGTGTAGAAAAAGGAATTTAATTAGTGCATAATAATTATACAGAACAGTGGATTTATTGTGGCATGTTTTTGTTTTTTTTTTTAAAGAGAGAGAGAGAGAGAGAAAGAATTTTTTTTTTTATATTTATTTTTCAGTTTTCGGGGGACATAACATCTTTGTTTGTATGTGGTGCTGAGGATCGAACCCAGGCCGCACGCATGCCAGGCGAGCACGCTACCGCCTGAGCCACATCCCCAGACCTTATTGTGGCATGTTTATACATGCACATACTTTGCTCAGTTTCATTCCTTAGTTCCTCTCCATTCTCTCCCCTTATCACCCCCCCAAAAAAAAACCCTTTCTCTAAACCTACTGGTCTCCCTTCTGTTAGGAATTTTCTTTATAGGAAAAAAACATATCTGATGAGTTTTGAATAAAGCATTAATGTGTTTTACAGAGGAACTTCCCATAAAAGGAAGGGGCAGATTGTTACACATTTAGTATGTTTCTTTAATTTTTATTTTTTGTAGTTGTAGATGGACCTTTAGTTTATTTATTTTCCCTTTATTTATTGCCTTCAATGTGTTGCTGAGTCTACCCCAAGGGCAGATTTTTTTTTTTTTTTACATGGTGCTGGGGATTAGAACCCAGGGCCTTGAACCCATTCGAAGCAAGCACTCTACCAACTGAACTATATCCCCAGCTCTATTGGTTTATTTTCATGTGATGCTTAGGATTGAACCAAGTGCCTCACACATGCTAGGCAAGTGCTCTACCACTGAGCTACAGCCCTAGCTCTAGCAATTACTTTTTAAAAAGTTTCAATTAATATAGAACTAAATAGAAAAACTGCACTTGTCAACTAACATCCACATTTTCAGAATATTTAAAATTTGATTTATAGTTGGGCCTGGTGGTGCACACTTGTAATCTCAGTGACTTGGGAGGCTGAGGCAGTAGGTTCATAAGTTCAGAGGCCAGCCTCAGCAACATAGTGAGGCCCTAAAGGACTGGGAGTGTATCTCAGTGATAAAGTGTCCCTTGGTTCAATCCTCTGTTCCCAAAAAGAAGAAAAAGATTTTTTTTCTTTTTTAAATTTCATTATTAGTATAGTATAAACCTGGATGTAGAACATCAAGATATTAAAGATACATGTTGAATGGAGAAGTAAAAACTTTTTCCTATCTGGATAATTTCTGGTGTTTTTAAATATTGTATTATATATATTGTGTTATTCTACATCAATCTTAGTTAAGCATTGGGATGGAGTATAATAGGGAAGAAAATAGGTACTTTTGTGACATTAAATAGGCAAAGGCTGATCAGGAAGAGGAAATAACCTCAAGTGTTTGTGCCTTTTCTTTTTTTTTAAATCAATATCATTGTGGCAGTTACATAGCATTCGAAATTCACCTGATTTCTTAAATTCTTTTTTTTAAATATTTATTTTTTAGTTTTTCCGGTGGACACAACATCTTTATTGTATTTTTATGTGGTGCTGAGGATCGAACCCAGCGCCCCGCACATGCCAGGCGAGTGTGCTACCGCTTGAGCCACATCCCCAGCCCCTTAAATTCTTTCATGTGTTGATAATTGTTGCAACCCTGTGATGAGTATATGAGGCTTATTATGCTGTTCTCTCTGCATTTATGTACGTTTGAAATTTTCTATAATATGTTAAAAATATGGATGAGCCTAGTGGTTCATTTGCTTTTATTTTCTATTGTGTTAACATATTTTTTTTAATATAACTTTATTTTATTTATATTTTATGTTGGCAAACACTCTACCACTGAGCCACAACTCCGGCCCCTGTTAATATAGTTTTTTGATACTTGCTTAGTTAGATCATAGACAATTATGAGTTTGATTAATCTTAGAGCTGGCTCTTTCATGCTCTGTGTTTCTGACAAGACATACTCTTTTTATTATAGGAGTGTTTTTTTAAAAAAATTGCTCCTTTATATTCCTTCCTCTGCCCCTTTTTCCTTCTTTTGGATTCTACATTTTTTGTAAGTGTATGTCTAAAATTAGCTTTTGAGTGATTAAGACACATTTATTATGTATAATTCATTTAATATTTTAAATCAGAAATCCAATCCAAATAGTAAATATTTATTTATTGAATTCCTCTTCCATTCCAGGCTGTCTTGTTGGCTAAAGAAGACAGATATTCTTTGCCCTATTTTTGTGGAGTGACACACAATATCAACAAACAAGGAAATATAGATGGTGATTTCATTTCAAAGTAATTACAGAAGGTGAAGTTTGGAGAGTGCTGATGAATAGCCATGTTAGACTGGGTAGCCAGGGAAGATTTCTTTGGGGTGGTAACATTTTAGCAGGTAAAAGAAAGACAAGGTTGAACTAGCTATTCATAGAGCTGGGAAAAGAGTGTTCTGGAAATACTACCTGGTGCAAAGTTCTAGAGGAAAACAGCCTGATGTATTTGAGGAGTATTAAGAAGGGCTTTGTGTTTGGAGAACAGGGAAAAGGGAGTGTCTTGGTTTTTCTAGCCTTCTAGAAAAATCTTGAAATATGATAGTGTAAAACATCTCTATTTTTCTCTCATCTTGTTTTGGCTATTCTTAGTATTTTGTATTTTCATATGTATTTTAGAATCAGCTTTTCAATTTCTCCAAAAAGGTAGTAATTCCCCACCCATAAATTCCCCATTTATGGGTTTTGGGTATTGATCTCAGGGTCTCCTGCATGCTAGACATGCACTCTATCACTGACTGAAACCTCCAACACCTTAACTTGGGTTTTGATTAATACTTATATTTGATCCGTGGATCCACATGGGCTGGGAATGTGGCTCAGTGATTAAGCACCCTAGGATTTGGTCCCCAGTACCAAATAATAATAAAAATGAAGTTTAAAATACCATTTATAATAGCATTAAAAGCATAAAATACTAATAAATTAATAACAAGTTTGCAGGAGCTCTATAATGAAAACTATGAAAGATTGCTCAGAGAAATTAAAAGATTT